TAATATAATGAACGTCACATGTGTCACCAACAGTCAAGTGAAATATAATGAACGTCACATGTGTCACCAGCACAGTCAACTCAGTGTATATATAATGAACGTCACATGTGTCACCAGCTCAGTCAACTCAGTGTAATATATAATGAAACTCACCAGTCAACTCAGTGTAATATAATGAACGTCACATCACCAGCACAGTCAACTCAGTGTAATATAATGAACGTCACATGTGTCACCAGCATGTGTCACCAGCACAGTCAACTCAGTGTAATATAATGAACGTCACATGTGTCACCAGCACAGTCAACTCAGTGTAATATAATGAACGTCAATGTCACCAGCACAGTAACTCAGTGTAATATAATGAACGTCACATGTGTCACCAGCACAGTCAACTCAGTGTAATATAATGAACGTCAGTGTAATATAATGAACGTCACCAGCACAGTCAACTCAGTGTAATATAATGAACGTCACATGTGTCACCAGCACAGTCAACTCAGTGTAATATAATGAACGTCACATGTGTCACCAGCACAGTCAACTCAGTGTAATATAATGAACGTCACAGTGTGTCACGTCACATCTGTGACCCCACCAGCACAGTCAACTCAGTGCAATATAATGAACGTCACATGTGTCACCAGCACAGTCAACTCAGTGTAATATAATGAACGTCACATGTGTAACCAACACAGCCAACTAAGTGTAATATAATGAACGTCACATGTGTCACCAGCACAGTCAACTCAGTGTAATATAATGAACGTCACATGTGTCACCAGCACAGTCAACTCAGTGTAATATAATGAACGTCACATGTGTCACCAGCACAGTCAACTCAGTGTAATATAATGAACGTCACATGTGTCACCAGCACAGTCAACTCAGTGTAATATAATGAACGTCACATGTGTCACCAGCACAGTGAACTCAGTGTAATATAATGAACGTCACATGTGTCACCAGCACAGTCAACTCAGTGCAATATAATGAACGTCACATGTGTCTCCAGCACAGTCAACTCAGTGCAATATAATGAACGTCACATGTGTCACCAGCACAGTCAACTCAGTGAAATATAATGAACGTCACATGTGTCTCCAGCGTGCCTCCCAGATCTGAGACATCAATTCAAGAGTCGGAATGTATTGCCTGGGCCAACAAGTGATACATTCTCAAATCAATCAGGGCCTTGAGCCTTGCATGATAAACATTCCCAAAGTGTACGTTGTTGAAAACATAGCCTTGGCTTTTTTTAGTATACTGAAGTATACAGATACTGTAGAAGAAACTGAAGCTGTGAGACATCAACACCTACCCGATCATCACTATAGTGCATCAACAAGGCTTCAGATCTGCCTGCTGAAGCAGCGGCACACATCACGGCCCCCAGTCCGTGGATCAGTGTTACCTCTGATGAGAGGTACAGAAGCCACGCTGAACTACACGGCGCTGAAACAGAGAGGGTCGCATTGCCATCTCGTCCTACCTAATACCTGATGATGGTCGCACAGCGCCTAAATAATGTACGGCTTCCTTCATCATGGTTCTCACCAACCCGGCAAATCTTCAGATTACCTTAAGTTCTTGTAAATTAATACAAGAGCTGAACATACAGAACCTTCGTGGCTGAATTAGATCGTCTATGGATCACAGCTGTGTGCGTCTCTGAATGATAAAACATTTCATTACTTATGGACCTATGTTTTGTCGTGTCTTGAGGATTGACGACAACATAGGCAAACATTAGAAGAATGTTTCCGTGCAGAAGAGTGCATCTTATATCACCCATTAATAAAGGGTCAAATGATATATAGCACATGTGAAGAAAGGTTTCTCAGAAATACTAGAACTATTACTGTCATTATAATCTTTAATGGGCTGACAACCGTGACACATCGTGACATACATGCACAGACAAAAAGTTTGCGGAATCGCACACCATTCCTCTACTAGAGCTCTGCGGAGTCCCCGGAGATCCACTGGTGCTGGGTGACGTGTGTACACACATCGCCCGAGGTCATCCCAGACATGTTCGATTGGGTTGAGGTCTGGCGAGCATGCTGGCCACTCCGTCCGTCGTACACCCTGCTGCCTAAGGAATGCCGTGACAAACCTGGCCCTATGAACCCTAGCATTGTCGTGTTGCAGTAAAGAGGGTCGGCCATAAAAACATGCATAGCGTGCAGGAATGGTACTGCCATAGGAGCCAGAATCTCGTCCCGATAACGCTGTCCGGTATGATTATCATCGGCCACGTGCAGTGGAGTACGTCCAGTAGGAGTTATCCCTGTCCTAGTCTGTAGTACAGACCCTGAAGCAAATGTATCCAAGAAAACCCATACCCACGCAAGTCTAGAAAATGTGACAAGTCTAGATTGTCTCAGCTTCAGGTCTGAAAATGAAGAAAGTCTCAGGGCTCCTTTTCATTATATTATATTTTCTTTTACTATGAACTTTTTTCAGTAAAATATGTTCATTTCAGAGACTAGTTGTTAGTCTATCCCTGTCCAAACCATGACCGATCCCTGCCAAATCGGTTATGCGTGGCCACAGTTGCATCTATGATTCGCTCTTCATTGCGACGATAAACCCTCTGCCGACCATCATGGAAGGACAAATTGAATCTGCTTTCATCTGTGAAGAGCACACGATACCATAGGCGCTGATTCCAGGGGCCAGCTAGGCATATGATGTCTAACTCAAACGCGCCTCCCTGTGACGTGGTGTTACAGCGGAGTCCAGCTGTCCTTAAACGGTGCTCCTGGATACCCTTACATTGTTAACATTGAAGTGTTCTGTCTGAAGATCTTCTTCGTTAAGGAATGTGTTACGTAACACCGTGTTAATCGTGTGCCTATCATCTCGGACTGTTGTGACTCTGGTGAGACGTGGTCGACGTGCATATTCCACGGATCCATTGGCTTGAAATCTGTCACAGTCTACCAATAGCACTCTGCCTCACAGTAACCCGGGCAGCAACCTGCCGCTGAGTTTGACCAGATTCCATAAGGCTTATGACCTAAAAATAGAAAAGTTGTTTAACAAACTATCATTAAAATTTGGACACAGTTCACTATTTGTTACGAAGGAGGACTGCAAAGGGAGGAACAGCCAGGTGTAAGTGAAGCACGTGCACAAGTGCCGACAAAGTCATTGATTCATTAACCCGTGCTGTGCCGTCTCCATCATTTCTCACACACCTGGCTGTTCCTCTCTTTGCACCCCTCCCTCGTAACAAATAGTGAACTGTGTCAAGATTTTAATGATAGTTTGTTCAACAACTTATTTCATTTTTAAGACATAAATTCTGCAAAAAAGATCACAGAGTTGGTCTGATGTTTTGATGATGATCAGTGTTTCAATGAGTACTATATGTTCAGTAGTTTCCGAGATAGATTGGGGGCGGTGGGGTAGCCTAATGGTTAAAGCGTTGGCTCGTCACGCCGAAGACCCGGGTTCGAATCCCCACTTGGGTACAATGTGTGAAGCCCATATCTGGTGTCCCCCCGCCGTGATGTTGCTGGAATATTGCTAAAAGCGGCGTAAAACCAAACTCAGTCAGTCAGTCGAGTTAGATTGCAATTCATCGGTCCGATTTTGAGCCAAACGGACTATATACGTCGCGTGATTCGTGGACGAAAAGTTCAACTGCAAAGACAAAAGTCCTATTTGCGAAAAGAAAGTATCCACAAGTACAGTCCACGAGTACGGACGTTGTCACCACATTATTGTGTTCTATCAGTTGCCAAAAGATGAATATATTTGTTCATAACTGACTTGTTTATTCCCTGTAGACAATCAGAAGTGTGTATTAATATTACAGCTGGACACTGTTAACTAGCAACAAGGGGGAAATACTATGTGTATACAACTAACATTTGAATGGTACAGACTGGCAAGAACACAAGAATCATTATTGGAACTAATTAGTGAGGACACTGTACCTCGGGGGAGCCAGCGATAACGGTAAAGCATCCCACCGAGTCCTTATGGTAATACTAGCAGTTGAAGAGTTCACATCGGGATATATGTTATAGCTGAACAGTGGGCATCCTGTATACGTTCGCATATGCTATTTATCTCACATTCGAATCTGTCAATTTTTCGATATGTTCTTTTAGAGGGTGTATGCAGTGACAATGAGCGTTGCAACCCCATTTGTACGAAGAAATATAATCTGGATTATTTACTTTTGGTATATGTCGGCACAGAACCACGTTATAGTGACTTCGGAAATGGAAATGAGTATGGCAATGGTTTAATCAATAGATGTGGGTACCGTCTTACATCATCATCATCAACCACATACCTGCCTGTCAGTGGTCCTGGGTTGTCTCAGTTACACACAGGGCCGTTACGTTCTCCGTGCGATACACTCATTCACTCACACCTCAACACGTGTTCACCTGACATAGCCTTTACTTTCTCCGTGCGATACACTCTCTCACTCACTCACTCACACCTTAACACGTGTTCACCTCACAGACCAATTCAACGACAGTGACAGTGACTAATTACAGCGGCATTGCCTCGATATATACTGGAAGTAGATATATTAAACCCGGTGTTTCCAAACACCTAGGTGTCTGACAGCTGTTCAGCCGAACCAGAGTACACGACCAGCACTAGACTACTACGTCAGGAATGTTTCCTCCGACGGTTGGGGTCTTTCACCATCTGCTTGTCCGCTGGAACCTTGCTGTGTGTACGGCGGCTGAACCCTACTCTCAGTCGTGGCGCGCTCTGAATACTAGTACATCATTATTCACAACGTACTGCAGGGAACTCCAGGACTGAAGAAGACATAGAATGTACTGCACTGCCCGATATACAGACACCTCCACCTCTGGGGCTCACGGTGGGGCGGGGCATGAGACATAGACCATAATAACCATTTTAAAACAATGTCCGTATGGTTTTATAAATGTGTCTGAGCTTCATTTATGAACACACACAGCAATGCTGTTTTATTGTCCGATAATGTAAAACTTGTAAACCATCAGGTGTCTCGTTTTATTACATGAATTTCAACCAAACAATCCCGTCTCATGGTACATAGTTCCAATCTTAGTGTTTGAAGTGAATGTATTGAGGGTTAGTTGTTTCAGGAAAACATTAACACAAATCTTTGACAAATACTGCGAGCGCCGTCATATGCCGTTGGGGTGTGGTGGCGATACGTCACCGTCATATGCCGTTGGGGTGTGGTGGCGTAACGTCACCGTCATATGCCGTTGGGGTGTCACAACTCCACGTCTGTTCCATTTTGTCACGACAAACACAGGGGCTCTGGAACGCGGGACGGCCATGATAAAGTATTCAAAGGAATCACATTTGTACTCTGAAAAAAACACAAAAACATTTTGTAACGGTAATCTACTTTCATTTGTTGCTGCTGATAAAGTCAATGTTGTTCTGAGAACAATAACTGCAGTCTCGGTTGCACTCAGTGACAAGAAATATTACGTGTGACAAATAAAACAGATTCGTGAGTTAATGAATGGGACATTTATCAAACTGAATATGTTATACTAATGTGACACTAATATAACTGTAATATAGCAGTGATATATCAGTAATATGCTCATATAACAGCACATTACCAGTAATATAGCTTACATAAATGTGCGTTAACAGTAATTTAGCTCATAGAATAGAACGCTAACAGTAATATAGTTTACATAAAAATGTGCATTAACAGTAATTTAGCTCATAGAATAGAACGCTAACAGTAATATAGCTTACATAAAAGTGCGTTAACAGTAATCTAGCTCATAGAATAGAACGCTAACAGTGATATAGCTTACATAAATGTGCGTTAACAGTAATTTAGCTCATAGAATAGAACGCTAACAGTAATATAGCTTACATAAAAGTGCGTTAACAGTAATTTAGCTCATAGAATAGCACGTCAACAGTAATATAACTTGCATAAAAGCGAATTAACAGTTATATAGCTCACGTCACAGCCTATTAGTTTACGATAACACAGCTTATGTAAAAGCACGTTAACAGGTATATAGCTTTGATAACAGCGTTAACAGTAATATAGCTTGCATAAAAGCTCGTTAACAGTAATATAGCTTTCATAAAAGTGCGTTAACAGTAATATAGCTAACATAGCAGCACCTTAACAGTAATACAGCTTACATAAAAGTGTCTTAACAAAAATATAGCTTACACTATAATAGCACGTTAACAGTAATATAGCTTACATGAAAGTGTGTTAACAATAATATAGCTTACATAATAGCACGTTAACAGTAATATAGCTAACAGAGCAGCACATTAACAGTAATATAGCTTACATGAAAGTGTGTTAACAATGATATAGCTTACAATATAATAGCACGTTAACAGTAATATAGCTAACATAGCAGCACATTAACAGTAATATAGCTTACATAAAAGTGTCTTAACAATAATATAGCTTACAATATAATAGCACGTTAACAGTAATATAGCTTACATGAAAGTGTGTTAACAATAATATAGCTTACATAATAGCACGTTAACAGTAATATAGCTAACATAGCAGCACATTAACAGTAATATAGCTTGCATAAAAGTGCGTTAACAGTAATATAGGTACCATAGCAGCACATTAACAGTAATATAGCTTACACAAAATTGCTTGAACAGTAATTTAGCTCATATAATAGCACGTTTACAGTAATATAGCTACCATAGCAGCCCATTAACAGTAATATAGCTTACACAAAATTGCTTGAACAGTAATTTAGCTCATATAATAGCACGTTAACAGTAATATAGCATTGATAACAGCGCGTTTAAAGTAATAGCTTACATAAAAGCGCATTAACGATTATATAGCTTACGTAACAGCCTATTAGTTTACAAAAAAAACAGCTTATGTAACATCGCACTAACAGTAATATAGCGTATGTAACAGCGCGCTAACGGCATTATAGCTTATATAACGCGAAAGCACACCAAACTCGATTAAAAGAAACAGAGAAGACGTGTTTACTTCGCCGGATACAGAAAATAAGAGACTGTGTTATTTGTCCAGTTCATCCACATCGGAACTTTCAGACTTTGAACAAGCCTCCGATATTATGGCAAGTGATATGCAGGACGATGGTCAGTCACATGAGAGTGGTGCTGGACAATTCATTACTCAGGTGCTACTGGCCCTCAAGAATGAGGAGGTGTTGTCTCTGATAGGCTCTGCTGTAGGGGAAGCCATAAAACCTACAATAAAACAAGAGATCTCTCTTCTTGTTGAAAAAACAAACAATTGGAAAGTGATGTCGAAGAACTTAAATCCAAAGTAACAGAGAGAGATGAAATGATCGAAACTTTGTCTGATAAACTTGACCGGGCCGAGCAATATGCAAGGCGAAATAATGTTCGAATAAGGGGAATCCCTGAAACTGAGGGGGAGAAAACCGATCAGCTGGTCTTCGAGCTAGCCGAGTCTATTGGTGTTGACATATCACCTCGAGATATAGACATCAGCCACAGAGTCCCCAGGTACCCACCCACACCCCAGTCCCAACCCAGGCCTATTATTATCATGTTCCTTAGCAACGCTACAAAGCGGCAACTCCTGGCCCAGAGATCCAAGCTCAAGTCCATAAACAGGAGTAAGTCATCTAAGATATACTAGTATGTCAATGAAGATCTTACAAAAACCAGGGCACTCTTAGCAAGAAAGGCAAGGAATCTGCTTCAAGAGAAACGAGTTGAATCCACTTGGGTCACTGGTGGGGTTATTCTCATCAAGATGAAAGATGGTACCCTGAAGAAAGTGGCGACTAATTCTCATTTTCACGATGTGTGTGAGCAAACCAGGCTGAAAATGTTTATCAACCTAAGTCAGGATCCTTCAGCTAACACATCTATGTGATCTCCCACCACAAACATAAATAGTGGGATAATCTGTACGAGCTGACTCTAAATACTGTGGAAACAACAAGTTGTGACTGTTGATACAAACCACCAATGATACTATGTGTATATAAACATGTTGCTTGGGATAACCTTCAACTACATCCCTCAGCTAACACATCTATGTCATCTATTACAAACATGAATAGTTGGATATTCCATACCAGCAGATTCTAAAAGCTGTGGAATCTACAAGTTATGATGTAAACCATCAATAATACTATGCTTTTTCAAAAATTGTTGATTGGCAAAACAGGTTTTATCTCAACATCTTCCCGAATCTACAGGTTTTTTGTTGATAAAGCTGTGTTATATCTAACATAACACTTGAATGACTCATTATTAATCAACATGACTGAATTGACCTTTTGTACGAAACATGCCCATCCTATATATATGTGCAGAACATTGTGTGTGTACATACTTAATGTACACTGAGGATCATGTAGTCCATAATTATGTGTGCAGACAAATCGCTGTCTGCAAGTAGATGGTGTGTAAAATACAAACATGCAGAAACATAAACATGTGAATGCCAACATATCTTTATTGTCAGTTATTGTCATTTTTCTCGCACTAAGTTATATCCTGATAATATATTAATATATCCTACTCCAAAGATTTGATAATCCGAATGACGAACTAGCCCATGCATACTTTACTATGGGAAATTGTTGTCTTGCACTAAAAGTGCTGTACACTGTATATTCCTTTGAATGTGATTTATATATGATTGGCTTCTCATTATATTTCACAACGTGTGTAATATTCTCTCTGAATTTTATTTCTATTTCTTTAGCTTAGTATATTACACAAAGGGCTGATACTTTCCCTTAAAAGCAGTATATATATATATATACTTGCTTATTATAGTATACCGAGTGTGTAATATTATCCATTAAATGTGAATCATACTTTATTACCATTCAGATATTGACGATCAGACTCTTTGTGCCTGTTAGATTACTACAATATAGTCGTATTCATATAAAAGATTAGAATATGGGTCTGCATTTTCAGTTAACAGATTATCATTTTAAATTAAATTGGATCAGTTATCAAAATTGATATTTTCGTTTACTATCACCCACATATATGACAACTTATTGTTACAAACTAATACGTATAGTATTTCTTTGCATCACAAGTTGAGGTATCCAACTATCCACTGCTCAAACACCGATCACAACCTGTTATGAAATGTACAACATGTGAACGTAACGCACGTGCAGAACGTGTCTCTCATGACTCGATTGTTTCACCACCGACTGCGCCAGACTTAGTATAGTTTTGATTCAATATTTTTATATGTATACTCACTCTCATTGATTGGTTCTAACGTTATTAATTTACAAATTTAGCGTGTAATAATTTCCCCGAATGTAGTTTATATTTATTTAGATTAATATATTACACGAAGAGTTGATAGTTTCCCTGAAAGCATTGTACATGCTTGTTTTTGCTTATCGTTATGTTCCACACAGAGTGTAATATTGCCCTTGAAATGTGCTTGCTATATCATATTTTTGTTACAACATTCAGACAAAGATGATCAGCCTGGTGGCACCTGTGATATTGCTACAATTCAGTTTTAGTCATAAACAGGACTAGAATACCGGTTTGATTTTAAAGTAAACAGTATCTCACACAGCTTAAGGCAATTCTCATTAACAGATTATTATCTTAAATCAAGTTTGGGTCATCTATCTAAATTGACATGTTCGCTTGCTATCATTCACATAAATGACAAACTTCTTGTTATAAAACTAATACTTACAGTATTCTTTGCATCACAAGTTGGGGTATCCAACTATCCATTGCTCAAACACCTGTCACAACCTGTTAGGAATGTACAACATGTGAAGGCAACGCACGTGCAGAACGTGTCTTTCATGACACGCGTGTTTCACTAGTGACTGAGCTAGACTTGATGTAATTTTGATTCAATATTTTTATATTTATGTCCACTTTCAATGACTGGTCCTGAATTAATTGATTTACTTATTTGGTAATTCAAACCCGTGGGGCTTCTTCTTCTTTTTGTTTTAAAAACTCAATGAGTATTATCATTTTATTATTTTTTCTTTCTTTTTGTGTTCATTTTGTAAAAGCTTTCTTTGAAAAACATGACCAATTTTCAACAAAACATTTTCACAATTATCTTATTTCGGGTGCACGTGTGCTTGATGACCTTTTGGTTTCACAATGTGATCCCACTTTCGGCTTTTCTAAATCTTTTGTAGATACATATGTTACATGTCTGTTGACATAACGCAGTACAGGCAGGCAGTGGGATGCTTTGCAGTTACACTTCATGCAAGAAATGCATATAATCTTCAGGTCTATATATTTTATTTTAACTTTAGATGCTTGTATCAACCGTCTATTTCCATATTTATCACCATCCTTTTACTTTGTTGCGGATATATTCACCCAAACCCAGGACCAAATAATGATAGAAACCTAGAGATAATACATCTCAATGTCAGAAGTCTTAAAGATAAAATTGACATCATTCATGCAGAATTTTTAGACTTTGAAGTGATATGTTTAACAGAAACCTGGCTGAATGATAATATTAATAGCAATGATATACTAATTCCCGGTTTTCACATTCCATTTAGAAAAGACCGTTTAACACGAGGCGACGGCGTGGCCATTTATGTCAAAGAATACTTATGTGTAGAGAGTATGGAAGCTTTAGACATTGCGGGTCTTGAAGCGTTATGGGTAAAAATTAAATGCAAAGCTAGAAATTATCTCATTGGTACATTTTACCGCGCGGACAAAAGTGAACAATATTGGGATTTGATTGTTCAATCAATTGATATGGCGATTGATTTAAACATGTTCACTGTTATTGCCGGTGACTTTAATATAGATATTCAAAATGAAAGCAACATTAAAATTGAAACGCTAAAACGTTTGTGTGGGATAAACCAGATCATAAATGCACCAACACGAATTACGCATAGCTCTAGCACTTTAATTGATTTGATTTTTGTTACCGATGAAAATAGCGTGCTTAGCTCAGGCGTACTCGATCCTATATGCAGTGATCATTGTCCAATTTTCGTAACGGTAAAAGATAAAATTTCCAAAACTGATGTTGTTATTAAAAGACTTGTGTACGATTTTAAATCTATGGATAAAGAGTGTGTTCAAAGACATCTTAACGAAATTGATCAAAAAGAAATATTTTCCTCTGGTAACACTGACACTGCAGTAGAAATCCTAACGGAAAAGATAAAGTACATATTAAACATCAGTACACCAAACAGACTGGTCAATGTTAGAGCTAAAGATCCCGTATGGATGAATAGCGAAATCCGTTCTGCAATACGGAAGCGAAATCGTTTTCATAAAAAAGCTAAAAATCGTGTTGGGCTAATTTCCGATTAGTCAGAAACAAAGTTGTCAACTTAACACGCGTTTCCAAAAGAAAATGTGATTAAAAAATTGATGATAGGATAAATTCCTCGGTGGGTACAAAAACATGGTGGCGTTTGGTAAAACAATATATTAACAAAAGTCTGAAAGTAACTACTTTCCACCAATCATATCAAATGACATTATCTACGACGACCCCGTAGACATTGCAAATGTTTTGAATGATTTCTTTGTGAGTCAGTCTACAATAGAAGATCCAGATTTACGACCTCCCCAATGTAATTTTGAACTTGCTACAGACTCACTGAATGTAGTCAATCTTACACTTGATGAAGTTCAAGATATTCTCCTCTCTCTCGATCCACCAAAAGCTACAGGATCAGATGGAATAGGAAATAGATTTCTGAAAGTCATGGCGAAAAGTTTAGCTCCCGTATTAACAAAACTATTTTATATGTCTCTTCAAAATTCACTTTTCCAGCCGTCTGGAAGGAAGCGTCAGTCATGCCCCTCCATAAAAAAAATAGTGTAAATGAATGTTCCAATTACAGACCGGCCGCACTTACGAGCTGTTTGTCTAAAGTTTTAGAAAAATGTGTTTTTAAACATGTATTTAATTTCTTTAGAGACAATGATATTTTAACCAATTTACAATCGGGTTTTATGCCAGGCGACTCTACCGCTAACCAATTAACTTATTTGTATGATTTCATAGCGAAAGGACTTGATGAAGGTAAAGAGGTCAGAGCTGGTTTTGTGACATTAGTAAGGCATTTGATAAGGTATGGCATAAGGGCATCATTTCTAAACTTAAAAGCTATGGCATTGGTGGATCACTTTTGAATTGGTTTGAAAGTTATTTACAAAACAGATCACAAAAAGTCGTCATTAATGGATACAGTTCCGATTATAAAGCTGTACTTGCTGGCATCCCACAAGGTTCCGTATTGGGACCCTTACTTTTTATTGTATACATAAATGATTTAGTAGATGGTATAAAAAGCCACATACGTTTATTTGCTGACGACACCTCACTTTACGTAATTGTAGATGATCACGATACTGCCGCATCCTGCCTGAACGATGATTTAAACCATATCTCTAGCTGGGCAGACAAGTGGCAAGTTACCTTCAACCCTGATAAAACCGAAACAATCAATTTCTCTCGTAAACATAAAAAGGACACGATTCCGACCTTGAACATGAACCAAACGCTGATACGAGAAGTGGGAAGTCATAAACACCTGGGTATAACTCTACAGAGTGATTGTGGATGGAAAACTCATATTGAAGATATTGTTAAGAAAGTTAGCCCCATGATAAATTGTCTTCGAAGTTATAAATATCGCCTCTCCAGAAAAACGCTAGAAACCATGTACAAATCGTTTGTGATGCCGATATTTGACTATTGTTGTCATATCTGGGATAATTGTACAAATGATCAGTGTCTTATTCTTGAACGGTTACATCTAGATGCACTTCGTACAACATGCATGCAGTTCGTGGCACTAGTCATCATAGGTTATATATCGAAACAAAGTCTAAACCATTAAAAGAGAGGAGGCGCGACATTAAAATAATACATTTTTACAAGATGAATAACGATCTCGCACCTGACTACCTCTGTGACCTTGTCCCTAACTTTGTCTCCGAAAACAGTCAATATAATCTCCGTAATAAATTTAAGTTACAAACAATAAATTGTAGGACTAAAATATATGAAAAGTCGTTCCTACCTGACACAATTAAAATTTGGAATTCATTACCTGATAATTTAGTATTCGCTAACTCAATCGGTGAATTCAAATCTCTGCTTAAAAATGATGAATCAAATAATTATCTAGATCTAAATTATGGCAGTCGATTCTGTCAGATCGTACACTGTCGACTTAAGCTCGGCTGTAGTGATTTGAATGCGGATAAAGTAAATAGACACATTTCTAACAACCCTGGATGCGCTTGTGGATACCACAATGAAGATACTGTTCATTATCTTTTTACATGTAAGTTATACACTGCTATTAGAAATAATACCTACTTCTATGTAAATGGCCACAATCTCCAAACTGTGTTATACGGAATACCTCCGGCAAACAACAACGTCAATAAGAACATAATAGAGTCCCTGCATCAATACATCTATAAGTCTAAACGATTTGACAAATTATACTAACAATTATATGCAATCAATTAATGAAGTGTAGCTGCAAGCTCAATGTTTATAAGCACCTACAACGCACATATATGATTTAATTTGTCGGTTTTTGTATCCAGTTCTTGTGTATTTGTTTAAATGATATATGTACTGGTGAGGTATTGATATAAGCAGAGTTCTGCTTGTTTACCAAACCAGATTATAAAAATATGTTTAAACCATAACGCGTAAACAGTAATATTAGCAGCAATGTAGCATTAATGTAACAGTAATATCGTTGTAAAATATCTGGAACATACCGGTGGTAATATCGTTGTAAAATATCTGGAACATACCGGTGGTAAGATCGTTGTAAAATATCTGGAACATACCGGTGGTAATATCGTTGTAAAATATCTGGAACATACCGGTGGTAATATCGTTGTAAAATATCTGGAACATACCGGTGGAAATATAACTGTAAAATATCTGGAACATACCGGTGGAAATATAACTGTAAAATATCTGGAACATACCGGTGGAAATATAACTGTAAAATATCTGGAACATACCGGTGGAAATATAACTGTAAAATATCTGGAACATACCGGTGGTAATATAACTGTAAAATATCTGGAACATACCGGTGGTAATATAACTGTAAAATATCTGGAACATACCGGTGGAAATATAACTGTAAAATATCTGGAACATACCGGTGGTAATATAACTGTAAAATATCTGGAACATACCGGTGGTAATATAACTGTAAAATATCTGGAATATACGGGTGCTAATATAACAGTAAGATAACTGGAACATACCGGTGGTAATATAACTGTAAAAATTTCTGGAACATACCGGTGGAAATATAACACATAAAATAACTTGAACATACCAGTGGTAATATAATTGTAAGATAACTGGAACATACCGGTGGTAATATAACTGTATGATAACTGGAACTGGGCAGTTAGAGGAACAAGTCATGATTTGATATATAAGGAAACTAACTCTATGCCCCTAGTTGACCGTAGACAAATTAGCAAGTTATCATTATTTTACAAAATGGTTCATCATATGACACCAGTTTATCTAACTGATCTACTGCCCGAAAAAGTATCACAGTTAAGTGACCATAGATTAAGAAACAGTAATAACATTCAAACTATAAGATGTCGTAGTGATTTGTATAGCAACTCGTTTTTACCTGATACAATACGACAATGGAATGATTTGCCTGAGAATATGTACGATATTGAAACCATAGGCCAATTCAAAAATGCATTCCAATCATCAAAACCACCCGGTGGTAATATAACTGTAAAATAACTGGAACATACCGGTGGTAAAAATGACTCCTGAAACCTGGAAACCAGCCGTATACTGGGTAATTTGGGAATCCAGTTGGTTTCCATTCACTGAAACTGAGTAACTGAGTTTCCAACTAGATTCCATTTTGGATTCTTTGATTTTTCTATTTCTGTAAATGGAAACCAACAAGAAACTAAGGTTAGAGGTTTCTTGTTGGTTTCCATCCCTGGAATTTGCAACTGAAGTTTCATTAAATGGAAACCAACATAAAACCAGAATATGTAGTTTCATGTTAGTTTCCTGTGCAAAGTTTTGAACTGAGTTTTTTAAAATTTGCAAGTATTTGGCATGAAGTTGATCATCCTAGCAT